GTACAATGACTTGTGTCTAAGATTATGGCACCCTACTCATCTCTGCACTAAGATGTCCTGTGTTCCGCCTACTCATCCCAAACCCGCCCTCTGCAGCACTGTGGCAGGTGGTGTGACCTCAGAACTCGAGGAAGGAAGTGAGGTCATGGGATGTGCCCTGAAGGAGAGCTGGGATCCTGGCCCCTCCTTTCTCCTTCCTTCTGCTTCCTGGTGCCCCAGGGGAGCAGTTTTGTTGGGCCACACACTCTCAATCGTGGTACTCTGCTTGTCACAGGCCCCAAACAAAGGGGTCAAATGACAATGGACTGACACTTCTGGGACTATGAGCCAAAGTCAATTTTCCTCCTTCTAGGTTGATGACCTCAGGCATTTTTCACAGCAATGGAAAGGTGATTAACAGACAATGGTTGCTGGAGGGGGGCTGTTTCTGTGAGTACCCCTGGCCAGTGGCTCAGACGCCTTCGGAATCAGTTTGTGGAAGGAGTTTGGAGAAGCCATCCAGAGAAGGCTTAGATGATGATGATGATAATGATAATGATGATGATGATGATGATTTAGTACTGATGACAGATATCAGGGGTGCTCTGCCACCGAGCTGTATCCCCAGACCTTCTTTATACTTTATTTTGAGACAGGGTCTAGTTAAATTAATGAAGCTGGCCTTGAACTTGCATCTTCTTGCCTTAGCCTCCCAAGTTGCTCAGATTACAAGTGTGCACCATCACATTCGTCTAATTATCACAATTTTGAGGACTGTGTGTCTCCCATTTTGGGGCAAGGGTGAGGAAATCAGAGTGACAGTGGCATATTGTTAGGTAAACAGATATGTATTTTTCTGTGTGAGGATTCAATGTGAGCACAAGAGTACCTGTGCAAGTTGCACAGTAAAAGGCAGTGAACTTTTTTTTTGAACCCTGACACAAAGAAAAGACCACCAACTCCAGTTTTAAATCAAATTAAAGCAAGCTTGTATTTGAGTACACAAAGAAAGCTGATCGCAACTGTCTTCCCTAACATGGGCTAGAGACCAGCACCCCCGCTCTCCAAGAACGAGATTTTATAGCACAAAAAGTTGCAAAGAGGGGTGTCTTGAGAACTTACAGATAACAGGATTTTGACAAGCATAATACAAAGGCAGATAGTAGGTTAGTGATCCACATGGCTTAACATTTCAAGGCAGAGAATACATTTAGATCCCAACACTAGAATTTATGAGGCACCACTGAGATTTTAGATAGAGTTGTTATCTGGTTAGGAAAAGCCAGGCATGGGTGAGTTCAAGGCATGGGCAGGAATTCCAAACAAGTTTAGAAGTCGCAGTAATTTATAGTAAAACAGAAAACAACTTTTCATGACTTTGTGATGAGGCTCCCAATCTTGAGATGGAATTGGGCTGGCTCCATCACTTTGCCTCTTTCCTGTACATTTACCCTTTTGGGCCTTCTCTGTAACAATGGATCTGGGTTCTTTAAATATTTTCCTTTGCCAGCTAACGTAATATTAAATCTTGTCAGTAGAGGGCAAGCCTTTGGCTCCTGAGTCTGTACCTGCTCTCCAGCACTCCTTCCCTGTAGGGCACAGGGCTTCTCCCCTCCCCCACCCCCACCCCCACCCCTTGCAGGCCCTTGCAGCACGGTAGCATGTTCAGAATCAAGCTTCTGCAGAGCACCTTGCTTTTCAAGCTCCCATCTCCTTCAGTATACAGGAGTCAGGAGCACCCAACAGCTGCTTTTCCTGGAGTGTAGTTTTTATAGTGGATTGCTTCTGGTGAAATACCATCATATAATCAGCTTTTTCTGACACTCTAAATGGTAGAAGTCTTACTCTTTTTTTTTTTTTTTAATGTGTGGCTATAACATAATACTGGAGGCTGGGTAACTTATAAAGAGATTTATTTGGCTCACAATTCTGATGTTGGAGGGTCGAAATACCAGGGCACCAGCATCCTGGTGTAGGCCTCTGGATGCATCACGGCAGAAGGGGCATGTTTGGGGGCAAGGAAGCTAGGGTTGGGGTATGTCTAGACTCACTCCTTTTATTACAACTCCCTGTTGAGGAGCTTAGCCACTCCCACTAGCTAAGCTACTCCCACAAGACAGCATGAACCCATTCCCCAAGGTGGAGCCCCCATGACAAAATTACTGTCCACCAGGCCCCACCTCTTAAAGATTCTACCACCTCTCAACATCACCACACTGGGGGCCACACTTCCAGCATGTGAAACATTTGGGGACAGGTCATACCCAAACCAGAGCTGAAGATTTCTGGTCATGCCCAGGGGGCAGTGTCACAGAAACTCTTTGTTTCAGTAACTCATAGCCGTGTCCTCACCAACCAGGACTTGACCTTGGTAATAAGCCAGGAGTGGTGAATGGTGTCCTGTGGATACTCCATCTCAGCTATAGGGATTAGCACCTAACATTTGTGTATCCGATATTCTTTAAAAGTCTCTTTACTTTTTACCAACCATTCCCATATCATTTCTATACTAATTGTAATCAATAGTTCTTTATAGGAAATTCTACCTGTTCAAATGTCTCTCTTGACTGAGTTCATACTAATATAGTGTGCACTATTTGAAGGCAGTGTAGTATAATGGTCAAGAGAAAAGTCCATCTGGTTTTAAATCCCATCCATCAATTATTTGGCTTTCATCAAGTTACATAATCAGTATGTGTTTCAGAGTCCTTATCTGTGGAATGTAGATAAATACAGTTTAATTGACTAGGGTTGCTATTCATGATAACTTATTTGAATAAGTTGTGATAGGTAATTCTCGTAGACCACTGTTTTGTGTAGAGTAATACATAGCTATTATTGGCCTTGGGAGATAGCAATTTTTGTGAGGCTTCTTGTGATTCCCTACATGTAGATATTCCATGAGTTCTCATCGCTGTGGTCATTCCAGGGTACAGGATCTGGGTTTCAGTGATCTGGGACCCTAAGCATTCTTTCTTCTCGTCTATTAGGCAGGAGAGTTCCTTTCTGGTTGGTGGGACAGGCACGGCCATTGTCACTAACTATCTCTTCTGTTGTAAATGTTCTCTAAATGATCCCATCACATCCCTTCTTTCAGTCCTTCTGTCCTACACCCAATTATCCTAAGTGCTTAAGTTCTTTAAGCATAGCATGCTTGGTGCTTTCAGCCTCTGCCCTACCACGTTAGACAAGGAGAGAAAGAGAAATTTGGGGCAAAAAGGGAAGAAAAGCAGCAAACATAATTTAGCATTAAAATATTATCAATCATTATTTTGATTAATGGGTTTAATAATTAGTGCTGACAGAGTGAAACAAGATGAATAATTTCAGGTGATTCTTATGTATGGCCAAGACACCTTGTTCAAAATGAATAAAAATTATGGAGGGATAAGAGTGAGTCAAAGGGATCTATTTTAATAACAGAACTGTGTATAAATTTGTCACAGAACTTAGGAAGAAGGGCTCGATCCCAATGTGAGGGTAAAATCCGTGGCGGCAACACACTTGCATGTCCCGAAGAATTCTCTTCAGATAGGTGCTTCCACCAAGTGCAAAAGTATGTTAAAGACTTAACTGGAGACGTGATTTCAGGAGTAGCACTGCGGAAAACACAGCACTTCAGCAAGAGTTGAGTTATGCTGAAATATGCGTCAGTTTCTGAGATTCTGAGTCCAACATGATGAACTCTCAGAGGTTTCGAGTGGCTCATGTGGCACAACTTAACATTCTCTTTTGGCCAAATCAGACCTAGTGGAGTCTAAAATCTGGTAAATATGCCTTAAAATATGTTGATTCTATCCTCTTTCTGCAACAAATGTGTGTGTGTGTGTGTGTGTGTGTGTGTGTGTGTGTGTTGGCTCCACAACTTCACACACAAAGGAAAGGAAACTATCAATGAGATTCTTTACACACAGCAACTTGCTTAAGTTCAACGAAATAGTGGTGTGTAGAAAAGCCCCTCGGTGGCCGCAGGAGGAGGGATAAACATGCCCTCCCCAGTTGTCCATGTCTTATCCCTGGAACCTGTGAGCACATCATCTTATGTGACAAAGGTGGAATTAAGGCTGCTAGTCAGCTGAATTTAAAATAGCTCACCTTGGATTACGCAGCTGGACCCAAAGTAATTGCAAGAATCCTAGAAAATGAAACAGAAAGTCAGGAGCTAAGTTCAGAAAGGACTCAACCCAGGAATGCTGAAAGGTGGGGAAGGGAGCAAGTGTTCTTGGAAGCAGGCCACCCTAGCTGGAAGAAAGGCAGAGGATGGGAAGCAGAGGGCCTCCAGGAGATCTGCGCCCCATGGACACCTTGATTTTGGCCCATCGAGATCCCTGTCAAACTTGTAATTCCCAGACCTGACAGATGATAAAACTGTATGGCTTTAAGCCACTAAGTCTGTGGTGATTGGTTAAGCAGCCATAGGAAGCCACGTGGTGGTTTACAAGCTGGAAGGAAATGCTTGATGGTTGTGCTCAGGGAAAGCGGGGTGGGGTGGGGGGCTAGAGAACTGGTGGCAGCTATGAGGGCCTGGCAGACCCAAGCACTGCCTTTGAAAGGGATGCAAAAGAAATGACCTTCCATCTGGGCTTCACTTTGTTCATGATTCAGGCTTTCGGCGAGTCCGATTTGGGGAAATTTGATTGCACATGCTACCCTTTTTTTGGTGAGGGGGACTCCGCAGATTGTGTGGAAGGAGGAAGCTGGGAGAGGGAAGGAGTCTCCTCAGATGCACAGGGAGGGCTGCAGGCTGGGCAAAAGCAGCGGGTGTGACCGAGTCCCCTCACCCTACCCCAGGAGCTCATCCAGACAAAAAGGGGATAGAATGGCTGAGAACCAGACAGTGATCAAGGGATGGTAAGGAACATGATTTAAAAACAAATGTTGCGTTTGCTAGTCTTGCTTTATTATTGATTGAGCACTCAGCAAGGATCCCTGTGAGAAAAAGAGATTTGAGAAAAAAGAAAAAAAGGAAAAGAGAGGAGGAGATGGGGGCGCAGAGAGAACAAACGATCCAAATAGAAGGCTTAGTGATCCTGGGGTACTGTGCCCCTGATTCTAGGTTGGTTCCCCAAAGGCAGGCAGCACGGGTTGCCGTCCAAACACCTCCCCGCGTAGACTTCGGTTGAGATGCAGTTATGTCGGCAGGATCCGTTGGGGCGCTCACAGATTTCCTTGAATCTGCCCCTGACTGCACACAGAGGAGGATTGTTTTAATCATTTATTGTTCTTCTGAGTTTTTATTAAGTTCAAGGGGGTGAGAGGGCAGGGTCTGGGAACAGTTTTGTGTAGACATTTCTTGTTATTTGATTTCTTACACCAATACTTAAAAATCTGGTGTCACATAAAACTTTGGAAACTTCTCTCAAAAAAATCTGGCAACCTTGGGTGCACGGAGTAGCAGAAAGCTACAGCTGAGTGGCCCTCCTGCCTTTATGGGCCCTGGGCACGCACGCTGCACTCAGTTCACTCATCTGACTTTCCTATCTCCTGACTCTGAAGGAAGACATGGACCAGTCCTGCTTAATATTACTTTTAGTACCACCAAATTTTCTAGCGTAGAAGAAAGGTTTTAGAGAAAAGGAATAGGGCCCAAGACATGTCCTATTGAAAACATTGAATAGCATTTGTTTTGTGTCCTAAGATATTGCTGTGCTGGCGGTGGGTCACACAGAATATATGATATGTCATAATATCACATCTATCTATCTGTCTCTGTCTACCTGTGCATCTTTGAAAAGGGGAACTGAAAAATAGATCTAAAAGATAGTAAGAAAATATACTTTGATGAAATTGGTAACAGGCTCTTTCCCTGGGAGCTGGCACCATATTCCTGCGTATGTAGCACACAGTTGTGCCTCAGCCTGGTGCTTCCTTCACCCCCCTCAGCCCCCTGGGGCTGGAGGCTGCAGTGCTGCTCTGGAGCCTTCGCCTGCATTGGGAGTGAGACATTCAAATGTACTTGTTCAAGACATTGAGTAGTATGTGATTTATGACCTGAGATATTCTTGTTCAGAAAAAATGTGGAAGGGGGGGGGGTGGATATCACTGTCCCAGGGGTGGGTTATGGGGATGGGTCACACACACTGATGTGCTCAGTTTAAAAAGTAGCTTAATTTGGAGCTGCCTCCTGTGTGTGTAACACAGCAGCTTTTCCAGGAAGAGGGGTAGCAAACTAAAACTTTCAGGATTTTGTTGTTGTTGTTGTTGTGTGTGTTCCCAAATACAAAGGCCAATTCTTGAATCTAGTATATATTAAATAAATGTCTACTGAATTGAACTGGACTGAACTGAAACCCAGGTGCATTAAATTGACTTAAACTCTTCAATGTTCATACAACAAATTGGTGAATGGATGTAAAGAACAAATAGGCAACATCGTATTTTTCCTAAAATGTGAACTGGGAAACAATTTTAATGGTGTAGGTTTCAGAAAAAAAATAAAAACTGATGGTCATTCTAAGTGTTGAGCACTATATAGAAACCGGCAGAAATCTGGGCTCTTGGATTCCTGACCTGTGCACCTTGTCTTCACTAGTCAGCAGTGATAGAGGGAGGCTTCCGTTAGCCTTAGGCGAAAAGCAGCCTACTGTACCCAGGTCTGTCGATGGCTGAAAATGAAGCCAGGGATCCCTGACTGGCCCCGGAGCGTGCTGAACCTCCTGCGCGCCCTCTGCTGGCCCTTCTTGCCCTCTACCACGGCTGAGGTTCCCTGCTCTCGCCTTACTCGCCGTGAAGGATCCCTTTAGGGCAGGACTCTCATCTTGTTCTTCTCTGTATATGTATCCCAGAATCGATCACAGAGAAATGCTCGTATAGACGCTTCCTCTCACTCGAGGTACACGTGTCCTGTGCTATCTTGTGCACAGTAGAATATACTGAGCGTTAAATCTCCAAACCGCAGGACTTTGTAAAAACATTGCTAGGAATTCAAGTGCATTTCTTTCTTTTCTTTGTTCTTTCCCATGAACCGTGCACAGTGAAAATAGAAGCCACGCCGTTCTTCCCCGATCTCGCTGTATTCCATTTTGACAGCAAGGAATTCCCTCGCCTCTGTTTGGCCACATTGTTTTCCTCTATTTTATTTGAGGAAATGTTAAAAAAAAGGAATAAGTTTTTCTAAATTTGTAAGTTTTAAAGCTGCACTAAAAGCATCAATTAGCTGTAGATATGACTGGCATGGAGATATATATATATATATATATATATATATACACACACATACATACACACAAATATATACATTATATACACATATACATTATATAAATATATAATAAATATTTTATATAATTAATAAAGAATATATATATATATATATAGTACTGGCAACTGAATCCCGTGGTGCTCTGTTGCTGAGCTACATACCCAGTCTATTTAAAAAAAATTTATTTTAGAAGCTGGAGCTATGACTCAGTGGTAACACACTTGCCTGGCATATGTGAGGCACTGGGTTCGATTCTCAGGATGGCATATAAATAAAATAAGGGTATATCAACAACTAAAAATTTTTTTAAAAAAAATTTATTTTAGACAGGGTCTTGTTAGGTTGCTCCTCAGGCTAGCCTTGAACTTGTGATCCTCCAGCCTCAGCCTCCTGAGTTGCTGCTATTATAGGGTTGCACCACTGCATCAGGCTTAAAATATTTTAAATTGATGTTTCCCCACCGAACCCATGTGTTTAGCTAATTGCTGTAGAAACAAAATTTAGATTTATAATGAACACCACAGATTGTCGTGTCTAACCACTTCCCTAAGAGGAAATGAGACCGGGAGAAGGACGCAGCTCACCCAAGAGCACCTGTGATCCAGTGAGGGGGTGGTAGGGACAGAGCCATGCTTGTGTCTAAGTCCCATTCTATTTCTGCCTCTTACTCCTCTCTGCATCCTCCTCACCTCTCCACCTTCCCCAATAAAAACCTGCAATCCTGCTGCCAATGTCCCCCTGAGGACCACCAGAGAGGACCTGTCTTCCTGCGTCGTCAGCTTGCTCCTCCCCATCTCGCTGCATTCCATCCTGACCATAAGTAATGCCCTCGCCTCTCTCTTCTACCACATCACTTTCCTTTGTCTTGTTAGAGTGACAATAAAAAAAAAGTTTGAGTGACAATGAATACAAAATAAGGTTTTCTGAATTTGGAATTGTTAAAGCTGAATTAGAAGCATTCATGTTCTGGGCATACAAATTTTAAAATATTTTAAATTTATTTTTCCTTCAAACCCATGTTTAGCAAGGGGAATGCTCAGTACTAATTGGATGGGTCTTCAGTAATGCCATAAGGACAAGTATCCCACTAGCTTTGTGAGCTCCTGAGCTAATAAGATTGGACTTGCTGTCCCCTATAGTCAGTCTCTGTAGGGTTATGCAAAGGAAGAAGGATGGCAGAACCCAGCAGTGGAAGGTGTAGAACATGCCAGGATGGGAAGAAGCAGCCCTGACTGCAGCTTGCAGCTTAGGCTTTCCCCCTGGGGGAGGCACACTGCTGAACAGGACTGTAATTGTCCCCCCTGTAGAACAGGAAAAATGGACCAGATATCTCTGAGGCTCTTCCTCATCTGGTTGCAAAATGATTTCATAGGATCTGTACTATCATAGCTGCTGTGCTAACTGTGACAAAGCTAACCTGCTTTGGTTTTGTTAAAAATAGTTTTGCACCAGCTTAAAAAACTTTTTCTTCCCTTCAAAGAATAGAAACTATTATTGAGGCCACTCATAAGAATTTCAGTTAATCTACACACTGCTCTTCACAGTGTGAGGGAGTATTTAACCTCAGCCCTGAGGACCTGGTTCCAGACCAGCCATTTGTTCACCCCAAAACCATATGGAGAGATGAATGGAGGATGTACTACACACACACACACACACACACACACACACAAACAGAAACACACACACACAGAGAAACAGAAACACACACACACACACACACACACACACGGTATTGCCTGAATAAATAGATTCAAGGAAGAATATGCAACTTACTGCTTGACATTAGAGAAGTACCTTCTCATCTTTCCCAAGAATGCAGGACTTTGAGAGTGGAAAGAACAGGGAAAAGGTCAGGGACATAAAGAGAAGTGTCTTCTCATCAAGCAGTAAATTGCATATTTTTCATTGAATTTACTTATTCAGGAGTTGTAGGAAAGGACCTGATCTATTTTCAGTATCCTGGGACCTGGGGTAAAAGCAAGAAGCTCTGCACACATTGCTTCAAAGCATGTCTGTGCAAGGGGGCTCATATCTATCATTTGTGTCATGCTGAGTGCAGGAGAAGGCTCTGTCTCAGGATGATCACTGATCCCTGCGACTGAGGTCTGTTCAGCAGGTTAAATGTTGAACAGAGACAGAGTCAGGGGATGGGATGAGCCTGGAGGAGCAGAGTCAAGCCCAAGGGCCAACAGTGTAGAGGCCGATGGACTGATACTTCTTAGGCTGTAGCAATGCTTTGAAGGAGACTGCTCCCACCAAACCCTTCTCCCTTCTGCCTGTGCCCACTATAGCTCTGGCATGGATCTTCTGCCGGTGTCTTCGAAAGACTAACTGTTGCTAAAGGAGTTTTGGAGACCAGTATTTGGGAGAATGCTTCCCCATTTCTTGTCATCTAGGTTTAGAAGCTGCTAGTAAACTTGCCTAATGACATGGAGGTTTAATGATGGCTTAAGAGGATTTCAACCCTTGGAACATCCTTGACCGATTTCATCTAACTGAGAGTTGCTGAGAGCTGATGTGTCGGGTGGTTAAGGGTCTCTCAGCCATCGGGTGTTCCAGATTTCCTAGGGCAACCCCTGGCCTGGGCATAGGTGATGGTGCTTTCTCTTTGAGTATTGGATCCCCATATGACCTTGGATACTCTTCACTTAACAAAGCTCCTGCAAGGTATATTTTGTTACCTGGTAGAACTTGGCTCATGAAGAAGAGAAGGGCAAAGAGGAGGACTGAGGTCCTCATGGCTGGAGGGAGAAGAAAGCTTGGCTTCATCTCCAGGAGGCAGTGAGAGCTTCGTCTGCAGCTCTAGCACCAGGGAAAGGTCTTTGGTAAGCTGCCATCTGTGCCTCACCAAGGGGAGCATGGACAGAGGCATTCTGTGCATGCAGAATGGCCTTCGGGGAAGGCTGAGTCCTTGTTTTCTTGGACATTCTGTTCAGTAAGCATGTGGGAGCAGTTTTGACCAGCAAACCTTGTTAAATAGGAACATCATCTACAAACATCTTGGCAATGGATCAAAGTTTCTGAACAAAGATCCATCTATATTAAGTCACAGTGAGTTGGGCATGTTAAAAGACCAGTTGGCTTAGTTCAGTGATGAGTTCTTTGGTTTGTGAACATCTCCCAGCCTTCTCAGCTTTGTTAATGGCTGATGGCCCCCTCACTCCTAGCCTCCTCTCTAATGTACTGTGCTTATGGTAGAGAGCTTACTGCATTTTGTGCCAGTAAACATTCTCCCAAATACTGAATGTGAATTTGCTTCCACCATGAACTTGTGAACTTCTCACTGGTTACTAGCATGTTGGAGTGTTGTTCAGAGCTGAGTGAGGAGTTGCATGAGGTTGTCATTTATCTTCAAAACTTGCTTTCAAGGGGAACAACTCATGACAGTAAAATGTCACTGCAAATGGAAGAGAGTGAGCCCCTGGCCGCTCGTGTCCATGCAGACATACTTTCTGCACAGCATTGAGTATAAATAGTAGAAATGCAGGGGCATCTTCCTGCCGGGATGTGTGGAAGCCAGCAACCAATGCAGGCAGGGGCTGAATGACATCCCCAGGGTGGCGGAGAGCCCGTGTCACGTGGGCTTGCATCACACACAGCATGCAGACCCTGTGACGAGGACAGCGTTGGCAGTGCTCCTGGGACAGCATGTAGTTGGCCAGGGGAGGTGTGTATGTCAGGCACTGCAGGGCTGCATTCACGTAGCAAGTGTTTCCCATGTTCCGCAGCCCAGCACCAGCCGCGGACGGTCTCTGCCAGTTCAGACAAAGTTTCCCTCTAGGAGCCAGCAGTGGCCCCACAGGAACCGAATTCTTATTTAAGTGTGCGTCAGGGCAAGGTGACAATGATGACTCTGCAGGTAGAGAAGGACCCAAATGGATTTGATGATCAGCTGCATTTGATGACCATTCAGGTTTTATACAGTCATCAAACTGAGACTCACCTCCACAGTGGAGTGAAGCTGCCTCCATGTCTCCAGGAGCAGTAACCACCAGGTTTCCCTGCTGAATCTCGAGAGGAGAGAGCTTCTCCTTCGGAGCTGGCCTTCGAAGGACAGGCTTTCCATATCCTCTGTTGGTAGCAGGTCTACCACCCATACCCACTCACTTGGTGTCAGATCCACCAATCACTTCTAAACACTTAATTGCATTGGAATCTTTGGGTGTGGTCTGTCCATTATCTGGAGGGTTTGGGTGAGTCCTTTCTTAGATTTGTGTTTGAGGAACATCAGAAACATAGAAGCAATTCTAATAATCAGGATTTTTGAAGAATATCCAGAGGCCTTCCATTTAGTTAAAATAATTTCCATGTGGGAGACCAACCTTACACGTGACTGGATTATACTCCCCAGCTGGGTGCTGAGGCGCTCAGTCGCAGAAATGTGGCAGAGCTTTCCCCACCCTTCTTGGGTCCGAGGGTTGGTGTCTCATGCATGGGTGTGTCTTGCTACAGCCCCATGGGTGAAGCTATGCTCACCTGTTCCTTTGTAATATAACCCCTTGCCCTGTTTAGGATAGAATCTTCCATGGACGTGCCTTGTGTGGGTCCCCTTCTCTTACTGTGCCCTTGGGTGTGGTCTACCCAGGTGTCAGTCAACCTGCTGACAGTGGACATCATAGACTCAGCCCCCTGAAACCTGACCCCTTGCCTCATTTGAATAGCTTCTTCTCAATAAAAGGGGTCAGCGTGTGCTCTTGTTCTCTCTCTTTCTTCGGGACCCTTAAGGTCAGAGGAGCCGTCACAGCGACCCCAAAGAAAAAGGTATTTGTGTCTCTTGTGTGGTTATTTTGCGCAGCCCAGTTAGCCCAGTTCAACTGGAGTGACCCCTGAGCTTTTTAGTCGTGAGAACAGAAACTCGGCATTTCCAGGCATTGGTGTGGCAATGATGTGATAGGGATATATTTGAATTAGTACTACAAACAAGGAAAGAGAAGAAAAAGTGTTTCGTGTGTGTGTGTGTGTGTGTGTGTGTGTGTTTGCGTGCTTGGGCGCGCGCGCTCGCACGCGCACCTACATGTTTATAAGTATTTTCAGGTATGGGCATTTGTATACTAATAAAATCCCTGTAGTATTAGAGTTTGCATTCTTTAAAAACAATTTTAAGGGATGCGGATGTGGCTCAAGTGGCAGCACACTCACCTGGCATGCGCGGGGCGCTGGGTTCAATCCTCAGCACCACATAAAAAATAAAATAAAGATATTGTGTCCACCAAAAACTAAAAAATAAATGTTAAAAAAATTCTCTCTCTCTCTCTCTCAAAAAAAAAAAAACAAAAAACAAAAAACAAACAACAAAACACCCCCCCCCCCCAATTTTCCCATTTAAGCCACCTCCAAGAAAAGGAAGCATTTTAACTCTTTCTCAATTAACCAAGTTGTCTTGACAGTCTTTCCTGACATATTTTTATGATGGTTTTGATGGAAGAGAAGTAGTATAGAAACAGCTCTACCTCTGTTTGGAAGAAATACTAAGGGAGCCAGGAGCAGGGGTTGCAGTAAGTTTTTTATGATGTTTTAGGTAATGCTCCATACAATACTCAGGTGCCGTGTGGACTGAGCTCTGTACCCACACACGACTACTTTAGAAGACCATAAACAATTAAGAACAAGATTTTAAAGAAAAGCTTTCTTTCTGTGGTTCTTTCTCTCTCTCAAATTTCATTCATAATTGGCATAGTAAGTAAAGTGGCTAAAAATATTAATCTATTTCTGTTGGGCCTATAAAATGTAACAATTTAAATCCCTGTCAATCAGTAAAAGCAGCCTGTACATTTTAATCTTCTATTTCCTAAAGTGGTTAGTATTCTCAGTCATAGAATTACCATGAGCACTATTGGTGTTATTCATTATTGTGTATACTATTCAATTTCTTTGCATGGGTTATTTTTGAACATTTCTCTGTTCAAGTTAGGTTTTACCTACTGATGATGTCCACTGAGGTTTCTCTACACCTTGGATGCCCACAGATACTCTTGGATGGCATATTTACTGGTGGTTGCCTCTGGATTAGAATCCCCTCATTAAATATTTCAATTGGTCTTCTGGAGACAGTGAGTAACCTGGGCTTGTAGGGTTGATTCAGGGAAGGTGTCTGCGCGGTTGAGCATCTAAAAAGATGTAAAATTTAGGGATTTAGTGTGTCCCACACAGCCTGAAAAGCTGTGGGTGAGGATCCTTCCCTCCATAGCTGTGGGTGGCAATCTTTCCAACCACAGTCACCACCTGCTCATCCAGGAAAACTTGAGGCCAGGAACTGGCTTGTCTTTTGTGAGAGGTTGGGGATGGTGCTTCCATCCCAACCCCATCATCATCCCTGGAATTTCCCCCCTGCAGATCTTGAGCCCAGCAACTGTATTTTCTGGAAATGGAAGGTTAGTGCATACTCTTTGTGCAGGCCTGAGCCCTGGGAAATGTTCCAGGTGCCCTGGGGTGAGCAGGAAAGGCTAATCTAACCTGGAAGGCATGAAGAAAGTAGTGATCCTCATAGGCACTGCTGAAGTTTCACGTACTCCGTGGAGGTTTGTTAGTATTCCAATGATCTTCTTCTTCTCTTCAGGCTAGGAAATATGATGATGATGATGATGACCAAAGTCCAGATCTTCCCAATGCAAATTTATGTGTCTGGAATTCTCTGGGACCAAGAAAGAGGGATACCATCAGGAAAGGTCTGGAACACAGCTGGGAATTTCTGTTGGTCAGGGAGAGGTTTGGGACCACTGGGCAGGGCAGAGGGCCACTGCTAACATTTCTGCCTGCCACAGGCACTGAGCAGCACTGATTGATTTGGCCAGGTGAGGGCCCCAGTGGACTCTCCAGGAGAAGGGCTGATGCCAGAGCCATATACTGCTCCTCAAATGGAACTCAGAAGCCCGACCCAAATCTCATAGCAAACCAGGGACAACATCCCTCAGCATCAGACTGTCCTTCGCCCATGTGGTCATTCTGGGCTTCATGTCCAGAAATGTCATTCCAAATTTTCAGGAAATAGAAAGTCTTTTCAAGGCAAACTGAGGTTCATGTTCACCACATAACAAGTATGTTTCTTGTAAATAATGGAATCATTGAAATGTATTACTTTTAATGAAGACATCATTAAGTAAAATGGCAGGAAAAAATCTTTCAGACCACAGTAACCAAAATTCATTAAAACCAAATGCCATTTAGATCAACTTGCATTTGCAATCTTTTAAAACTCTCAAAATCATTTTAACTGTTGATTTTGAGCTTGTATCTAAACAAGTATTGCCTCAGAAAGATTGGCAAAAGGGTCCAGGGATGTACACAATGATTGGCAGGTCAGATGCCCTGAGTAGAGTCATGTGAGGCAAAGGTGTGAGTCACTGATTAACAGAAAACTCCACTGGGGGATTAGGAGGCTTACGTTAGCTGAGGTGTTGGATCACATAACTGTGGGGCAGTATGAAAGTCCAGGGAAGGGACGCTCCCTCACTGCCCCTTGCACTGGCCTCCTGGAGGCTGCATCTCTTCCTGGGCTGTGTGTCCAGCAGCCACCTGTCTGACCACCTGCTGAAAGAAAAGAGCAACGGTGGGACCTCAGGTTGGTGTCCTTTTCCAGATTATTGCTGGAAAAAGTGGAGTGGAGACAATGGGATGACAGAGGGTTAAGTGCTAAGGGCAGTTTCATTTTCAAGAGTGTTTCTTTATACTGAGAAGGATAAAATAGATCATTCTATGTTTAGATCACCACAGAACTGCTGACGGTTCAGAGAACATTTACT